TAAAAACAAATCGAAGGAGCTATGGGGGGGGTATGAATTTCTGCCACCAGAAGCGAACTCTAAATTCACTTCATATTTCCATAATTAAAATCTTTTATTTAAAATGGTCGGAATTACAATGAAAAGTACCCAAAAACGTTTAAGGTAATAAATAGCGTTTATTATTAGTTTAAATTGAAAATGTATGGGCTTATTTGCTAAGATTTTTCCTTCAAGACCCACATAGATATCATACAGACATTGACCAGTACATTTTATGAAATCAGTACTGCTTAAGCAATTTATGAATAAAACCTAACCCTACCCCTAGGGTTTTTGTCTTAAGTTTTCTACATATTCATGTTAAGGTGATTTAATATCGTAGAAAAGTTCAAAACAGAAGATTTTAGGTATTGAGAAATATTTAAACTAATTTAGATGTGACCTTCAAGTAAACGATAATTAAAAAAACTTGAAAATTACCATCTCGACTTGTTATGCGCAAAAGGTTAGAAAAAAATACAACATCAGTGTCAAATGATATTTACACTAACTTCTTGTTATACAGACATGACGACATACAGTCAAAATATTTTTTGTTTATTACAAGTTTTTAGCCACTTAAAGGCTTTACAAGTACGTTGCAAAGGATTCTTGATGTAATTAAAATAACAACAACCGTTAATTACGATTAGCGTTTCTGAAGACATAAAAAAATCCTAAATGTGTTTGTTTTTAAAACATTTATGCTTAATTTTGCTTGACTTTAGTAAAATTCTTCGACTTTTTCACATTTCAAACTTTATTAAAAATTTTTCAAACTTTGATCTTAACAGAATAATGTTAGTAAAAAATTGCGCAGAGTAATTATTAATAGGAAATGTACCTTAGAATCATATGTATAAGCAATCAACTGCTGTATTTTCCTTGTATAATTTGGTTAGTTGACGTATAATTTCCAAACGTGAAAATTGTATTTTCCGATAATTAAAAATAGATATTAAAATAATTGTAACACGCAGTTTTGGTTTCTCCGTTCTCTAGATACTTAATAAGTTATGGTTGACAAAAAATGAAACCAATTTTATTCGTAAAGTTATTTGATAAATTTTTATACCACACTCTACCTAAAGTACACAATGTCTTTTTTCTGACTTAAGGATGTTTGGGAAGTACAATCGAAGACAAGAGTACATAAAATTAGAGATTCATGAATTATTAGGTTTTGCAGCATATCAGGAGGTAAATAAATACTTTTTTCTTNATTAAAAACTAATTCACTTCGGGAAGATTTCTACATTGTATATATATTTATATTCAGTACATAGTTACATTAGTCATCTACATCTGTGACTAATAGTACGGTTTGTCGTTGTTGCTGTTGTCATCTCTCGTAGCTTAGTGGTCAAAGCATTGGCGCGTAAAGCCAAAGAGCCCGCGTTCGATTCTCGGCGGGGGTGTGTCAACAGCAACAAATTTTTCCTCATTAATTTGAGGAAGTGTGTAGTGGGTAAAAATTGAGAATATTTCATATTAAAAACTAATTCACTTCGGGAAGATTTCTACATTGTATATATATTTATATTCAGTACATAGTTACATTAGTCATCTACATCTGTGACTAATAGTACGGTTTGTCGTTGTTGCTGTTGTCATCTCTCGTAGCTTAGTGGTCAAAGCATTGGCGCGTAAAGCCAAAGAGCCCGCGTTCGATTCTCGGCGGGGGTGTGTCAACAGCAACAAATTTTTCCTCATTAATTTGAGGAAGTGTGTAGTGGGTAAAAATTGAGAATATTTCATATTAAAAACTAATTCACTTCGGGAAGATTTCTACATTGTATATATATTTATATTCAGTACATAGTTACATTAGTCATCTACATCTGTGACTAATAGTACGGTTTGTCGTTGTTGCTGTTGTCATCTCTCGTAGCTTAGTGGTCAAAGCATTGGCGCGTAAAGCCAAAGAGCCCGCGTTCGATTCTCGGCGGGGGTGTGTCAACAGCAACAAATTTTTCCTCATTAATTTGAGGAAGTGTGTAGTGGGTAAAAATTGAGAATATTTCATATTAAAAACTAATTCACTTCGGGAAGATTTCTACATTGTATATATATTTATATTCAGTACATAGTTACATTAGTCATCTACATCTGTGACTAATAGTACGGTTTGTCGTTGTTGCTGTTGTCATCTCTCGTAGCTTAGTGGTCAAAGCATTGGCGCGTAAAGCCAAAGAGCCCGCGTTCGATTCTCGGCGGGGGTGTGTCAACAGCAACAAATTTTTCCTCATTAATTTGAGGAAGTGTGTAGTGGGTAAAAATTGAGAATATTTCATATTAAAAACTAATTCACTTCGGGAAGATTTCTACATTGTATATATATTTATATTCAGTACATAGTTACATTAGTCATCTACATCTGTGACTAATAGTACGGTTTGTCGTTGTTGCTGTTGTCATCTCTCGTAGCTTAGTGGTCAAAGCATTGGCGCGTAAAGCCAAAGAGCCCGCGTTCGATTCTCGGCGGGGGTGTGTCAACAGCAACAAATTTTTCCTCATTAATTTGAGGAAGTGTGTAGTGGGTAAAAATTGAGAATATTTCATATTAAAAAACTAACTCACTTCGGGAAGATTTCTACATTGTATGTATATTAATAATTATGCTCCTAGCAATAATAAAATACTGACGATCAGGATCGTAATGATATAATCTATTTGAAGAACCAAAACCTTTACAATTCTTCATAAATCCTGTGATGAATCCTCAAAATCCGCTTGCTATTCTGAATTATGTTATGTATGTCGATGAAGGACATAAGTTATGTGACACCTTTGCATGCGCACATCCTTATTAAGGATGGTAAATTAGTACATTTTGAATTGAAATTTATTATTTTGCTGTAGTTTACAAATCTTGTATCATATGGAAAAAAGCACAAAATGTAAGTTTTTGTGTACACCTCACTGCAATTCCGACCAAACTAAATAAAAGATCTTACATAATAGAGAAAATAGAAAGGGTGGCAAATTTAACTTTCGCCCCGGGTGGTGGCATTCACGCTAGGTCACTGCCTTTTTCATTTGGTGGTTAGTTTTATACAGTGACTAGTTTTTTAAATAAATTTTCAATATATACTTAGAAGAAGGGGAATATTTTATATACATATTACACTAAAATTAATAATTTATATTACTTACTTGAATAGAAAGTTAATTAAGCATTTGCTCTTCAGCAACTATTTTTAAATCTAAAACGAAACGCTCACATTAGAAACTGCAATATTTTAAATGGTTCTGTTACATTGAGAATTTTAGCGTACCTATCTTTTAAACTTAATTAAATCGCTTTGGCCTTAATTATTGAACAACACTAATAAAAGTAATAACTTACTGACATATAGTAACGTCAGTATTATGTAATGACGTTCTAAAAACAACAGGGCTTACATAGTTTTTTATATTTTGACATTAAATGTTTTTAAAATCCTGTTTAGCGTTGCTAGCATCGAAATTTCATTTATTGACGATCAGATTTCAGATCCTCACTTGTACAAATCTAAATTTAATTTTGACGTGTAAAATGTTTATCATGAAACAATAAGGCCAGCAACTAAAGCAACGCCGTTAGTATATATGAATTTGTTAAACATTACAAAATAATGGTTGCTCATTTAGACTAGAACTAGATGTTGTAAATGTTACGTACTACACAGTTAACCCATAATTGCAATGAAAGAAGCGTAATTACTTAATTATTATGAACACAGCACAATTTTACTTTTTTGGAGTACAGGTTTTCGCAATGGCGTTGGTAAGGTTAGTGGGGGAACCATCTGTCTCCCCCCGCTAGAGAAAGGGTTGCATTTAAGGATGATTGGGAGGTACAATCGGAGACAAGAGTACATAAAATTAGAAATTCGTGATTAATTAGGTTTTGCAGCATATCATGAGGTAAATAAATACTGTCTATACTAAGAAAAAAGTATACGGTTTGAGAGAAAATTTATTGGAATTTGACCAAAAACTTTGAATAAAATAAGAAATAACGAATAATATGGAAAATTTTTAACTGAATTTTAGGTGAATATGCCTTGATTTCAACTTTGAAACAAAAAAATATTTAGTTTCAATCTCTATTAATAATGAGCGTAAAACTTTTTAATATGTTTAAATAATAATTAAAACTTTAAAATTGCATTTATTTCAGACAATTATAAATATTATCATTATATTATCAAGTAAAAACGAGATTTTCAGCTAATTTTTCATTTTTTCCTCGATAACCATTTAGTGAATTTGAATAACCTTACGCTAAAGTGATTCTCCAGAGTTCAAGTTACTTATTATAAAAGTTTGAAATTTCTGGTAGCTTTTTTTCTGTTAATAAAAATAAATTTAATCTGTTCGGTTAACGAATCTCCATAAAATGACGTGTAAAATTACAATTTTTTAAAATTTCAATAACTTTTTAACGGTTTAGTGAATCGATTTGTAATTTTTACAGGAGTTTTAGAATTGAACGAGGAACGTTCTTCCAAATTTCTATTTGTCTCGTAGTATTTTGACATACCTCCCAAACATCTTTAATCAAATACCAAACCATTTCGGTTATGCCATGCTTAAATGGAATGCATTCTCGTTAAATTTTATTATAATTACCCCCTTCGTTACAAACCGTTATTTAAATAATAAATTTTCAAACTTGATCTATTTACTAAATGATGATAAAAATTTTCTAGAGTATTTACATCATCCTTATTCTCAATCAAATAAAAAATCTGCAGTGTAGTCTGTAATTTATTTATTTATTTATTAGCATACACGATGAGCATCAACAGATATGGATCTCTCCAATATTCGTTTCATCAAATTCCGTTTCCAAAAATAGATCACATTTATAGAATAAAATACATTTATATATGTAAGTGCTAAGCGTTTCACACTTAAACAACGTTAAACATTTTCAAAATTCAATCACAACAGTTACAATTTCAAATCGATGTATATTTATTTATATTTACAATGAATTATACTGAGACGAAAGTACAATAGTATTTTATAAGTTTTACGGTAGTTATTGGGCTAAACGTAAAACCATTAAGAATTTTTAAACTTAATTGATTTCAATTGTACCTATAGGTACTTAAACACACACTGAATGAAAGATCATGCAATACATATATCCTTATTAAATTTAAAAGTCTTAAATGATATCAGTCATTTCTAATAGAAAAATGTGAGAAAAAAATAGCAACTCTTGAAAATACAATTTTTTTATATTTTTGAAAAAATATGTCATTTATTCTGATCGGAGTATTTGAAGAGCTTCCGCGACCAATTCATGATCAGTTACGTATCGAGGACCATTTTTTAGACCTAGAACAATTTCGCTTTCTTTATTTTCGCCCTCTTCTTCTTCCTTCTTTTCAACCTTAAATGAACCATGATATTCCGTAGCTTCGGTGTTGTCGATAATAAATTTCAAATTATCCTTTGTAATTCCACCAGCGGGAATAATTATGATTCTGTTTCCTACTTGATCAATAAGTTTTTTGATCAATTTCACCCCTTGCTGGGCATTCTTTTGTTGACCACTGGTTAGTAAACGGGTAAATCCCAAATCAATGACAACTTCGACTTCTATTGTGGGCCTTCTGCAGAAATCGAACGCTCTGTGAAATGTCACAGACAAGGGGAAGCAGGCTTTAATAATTTCTCGACATTTTTTCATGTCAACATCTCCATTTGGCAAAAGGGCCCCAAAAACAAACCCATCCGCGCCACGTTGCTTTAAAATCTTTGCATCTTCAACCATAATTTCGATTTCTTCTTGGGAATAAATAAAATTCCCAGGTCGACATCGCAACATACAGTATATGGGAACTTTAGCGGAATTTGCATGTTGAATTTGAATTAAAAGACCGGGGGTTGGTGTAAGACCGCCCTCTATCAGTGAGCTACACAATTCTAATCGACCTGCACCAGCACCTAGAGCGGTAACTGCTGATTCGAAGCTGTCTACACAAACCTCCAACACTTTTGGCATATTAACCTAAATTTGTTAATTTCTTTACCAAAAACTTTAAAATTACACTTATTTTCAGACCACACTTAGCGATAATGTAAACTTTAACTGTTCTTTAGAGCAAATTACACAAATTGAAACACATCAACGAAGAAACACCTTTTATTTTCTACTGTTTATTTGGTTACACCGTCTATCGACATTCTAAAACCGCCACCGGCAAATTTTGTTTGATTCGTTTGATTTCGGCCGCCTTGTTTGTGGTTTGTGTCTTGGCTAGGTTTATCAATCGTTGCTAAAAATTCGCATAGTTTTCGGCGGGATTTTTTCTCCCACAAGTATTTTTTTCGCAGTTCTTTGATCTCATCCTTGAGTTTTTCCATTTCTTGTTTATATTGTAAAGCATTTTGCTCTGTCATATTTAATTCGGACAATAAACACTGCAAAAATACTTTATCTCAAAACAACTGAAAAATGCAAAAAAAAAACAGCAACAATTTATTAATAACTATACGTATAGTTGAATTACCACGAGACTTACTATTTGTTGTACCTCAACACACTTAACTATTTAAAATATTATCAATTGTTTTTGGTTTTATTTTTTTTTATTTTACATTACCTTCATTTTATTGGATCTCGATACGAGCGCTTTTTGTGTTTTTACTAGTTCAGTTTGTATTTCTGGACCGGGTTGCTTTTCTACCATTCGTTTGAGTGTTGTATACAACGATTCAATTTCTGTTAAATGCCTTTCACGTTCGATTGATTCCGAAGTAATATTGATAACACGTCTAAAAGATATATTGTTAAGAAAAATTAACATGCACTTTTTATGCAATGAAGTAAATACTTTTGCAGAATTTGCACTTTTTGAATAAGTTCCAGAGCATCTGGATCAGATCCTTCCAATTTGCGCCACCGATGAATATTTAAGGGTGTTTGAATTTCTTGTTCCAAAGCACGCACTTTTAATCTTTCTTTCGTGAGATCTTTTTCCAAATTAATTACCTCCTTTCGGAGATCGGAAATATTGCTTACAGACACCGATAAAAGTTTTTTCTCTTGCCTTAATCTTTTAATTTCCACTTTTAGCAGACGAATGTCATCCACTCTTTGCTCGTATTGAGCTTCTCCTGTTAAAAATAATTAATTTCTTATAGCGTGTAATTCGCAAAATGATTTTAGATTTATTTATTAGCAAATAACTAAACGAAGAAAATCAAATTGATTTTTTAAATTTTCCGATATATTGCAACCTTTCTTTTGAATTTTTGAACAATAAATCACCTCTGTACAGGGTTGTTTGTAAAATTTTAATTTTTTCGTACAATAGTGCCAATTCGTCATTTCTTCTTACAAGTTGAGACCCTAATATGTCCCTTTCTTTCATTAAATTTTCTAAATCTTTTACTTGTTGTTTAATGGTTCTTTCGTTTTCCTTAAAATTAAAAACAATGTTATTACTAAATTCTACACCGTTTCAGAAATTTGTTTTACCATAATGACTTTATGAAGTCTTTTTTCTTCTTCTGACATTTCAGTTATTTCCCCCTTCAGGTCCTTGATCTTATCTAAATGATTGTTTATTTCAATTCTGAAATAAATTTAAGTTCAAACTTATCATTTTCAAGGATGTTTTTGTATAATCTTACCGTTAGGATATTAACAGATTAGAAGCTGTCTATTGATGCAATGTAATTTAGGGATTGCTTTAGTTTACGAATAGCAAACATTTTTTAAAGAGTACTTACTTTAAATTTTCTTTTTCCTTTAACAACTTCTTAAGTACGTTTTCTATTTTAATAACGTCGTGTTCCTTCATTGATGCGTCTTCTTTGAGCTGTTCAGTCTGATGTATCGATATTTTGAGTTTTCCCTTAAGTTCTCCCGCTTCTGCCATGGATTCTTGTAATGCTTTTTGGAATTGATTTCTTTCAGCTCTTATGGCATCGAAAAGATTTTGCTGCATTTTTAGCTTTGCCTCAACCTCCGTAATCATTTTTTTAAGTCCAAATATTTCCGCCTAATAAACCGAAAAGCAAAAGCAGTAGATTGAATTAAAACTTAATGAATAAAACGCGTGATAAACATCCCTGATGTTGATATTATTTTGTTTGTAAATATTTTAATTACTTTTTTTATTTTGACTTCGTCCATCGTCTCTTCTATTTTTCTGCTTAGTTCAATACTTTCTTCCACCAATCTGTCCCTTTCCTTTTCAAGAGCAGTTTTCTCTTTCGCTTGTTTGCCAATTTCTTTTATATAATCGTCCATTTCCTTTTCTATTTTCTTTCTAATTTGTTGTTGAATTTTAATGAGTTTAATGTGATCACGTGAAGCAGCTATAAATTAGGTAAGATTTCTTTAAAAACACAAACATTTTATTGTTTTGTTAAAACATTTAATTACGATTAAAAATGTTGAAACTACCACTTCATTAATAAAATGTGTACGTTTAGAGATGATACCTTGCAAACGTAATAAATTCTTGCTTAGCACATCTTTTTCCCTGCCTTGTTCTTCTATAATTCTTTTATCGGCATCTGATTGCTTTTTATATTTTTCGACGTCTTTTTCCATATCAGCTATAACTTGTCTTAACTGATTCCGACCTTCAATCATCTCAGCTCTTCCTTGTTCCATTTTTATTAGTTTTCGGTCTCCAAATTCCTTTAGCTTTGTCATTTTTCCCAAATCTTTCCTTAAAAACCTACATTCGTCTTCTTTCAGCTATGGTTAAATTAGTTTTTTATAAATAATTAGAAATACTCATATTACCGTAAAATGTCCTTTTTGGAATATTTGAAAATTAAATTGCCATAATGTTTTTATTTATTTCTCACGAAAACTCGTTGCAATGTTCGTTACCTTGAGTTCTAAGTTCTTTTTTTGCGTTGCATTTTTCATTTCGGCAGTAACTTCTAAAACTGCATTATAATCGTCTTGAAGCTTTTCGTGTTTTGCATTAAGCGTCTCATTTTCTCTCATAAGTTTGTCTGTTCTCAGTCTTGTTTCCCTTAGTAAATTATCGGACACATCACGCTGCTTATTAGCCTTTTCCACTTTACGAATAAAGTCTTGAATTTCCCTGTCTTTTTCCTCTATCACCTTCGCTTGTTCATTTGACTGTGCTTTTAAGATCTCTTCGTTTTCGGTTTTCTTTTTTATTGTTTCGTCACGACTCTGTCGAAATGCAACAACGAGAATGTAGATTTTATTTTAACATAAATACTATATTATAATTATTTCAGAAATAAAAGGTAAACTTGCATTTAGTTCCGTAGTTAAACTCTCAATTTGTAAATCTTGAGTAGAAGCTCTTCGTTCTAGGTCTTCTTGATAAGCTAGAGCATTGGTTAATTTCTGAGTCATTTTATCTATTTCTGTTAGAAGACGCTCTTTATCTCGAATGAGACTTTCTTGGGTTTTTGCCGTTTCAGCAGCAGCTCTGTTTAGAAATAATGACAATAAAAGTAAAATGTGTTTTTAATTCGAACTTATGTGGTTGATTTTATATCTTACTCGTCTTCTTCTCCGCCCATTTTATTTTTGAAATCAAGTTCTGCATTCAGGGCGGCAATTTCCTTTCTCAAATTATCAATTATTTCTTGAGCCATTTGTTCTCTTAAATGAGCATTATCGGCAAGTTTCCAGGTCTTTTCCAGTTCTTCGGTTAAATCCGCGATAGTTGTAGTGTCAGCCTCGGTAATGTGTAAAGCTACTTCAAGCTTTTCATTGGTTGCTGTCAGCTCCTCGGTCATTTCTTCGACTTTTTTTTCAAGATTTTTCTCGCTCGTGTATGTTCTGTAGAGAAATTCGTACGCCCTGTTGATCTCTTCAGCATACTGACTCATTTCAGGATTTGCTTCAATTTCACCCAACATCTAAAGTACAGTGTAGTAGAGGGCAACATGAGTACAATAGTCATCTTTAGAGATTGCTTGCGAGAACTTCTTTAAAATTTTAACTTCTTAATAATATTGGATATTGGAGGGTGGATATCCGTCTTTATAAAACTAGTACTTTCATTCTATAATCTAATTGATATTTCTTTACCTGATNTACCTAAATGAAACTTAACAATTTATTCCCTTTTAGTAAAAATCTAAAAATAGCTGAAAATTATTGTAGTCGCTCATTTGCCCTCTTTACACAAACTTCTATCCAAATATTTCTAACTTCCTGTATGTAAAACGGTAACTTTTTAATATATATTCAGTAATTTCAGTCTTTATAAAACTAGTACTTTCATTCTATAATCTAATTGATATTTCTTTACCTGATTGATACTTCTTTCTATAATAATATATAAATGGTCTGGATTATTCGGATCGAGTTCTTCTTCCTCTTCCTGCTCTTCCTCAGCTTCTTCTGCATCGTTATCGTCGAATGCATCCATATTTCAAAACAAATTCAAAAAAGGACGTATTTATGCTACTAGTTACAATAAATATATGACACCAAATGACAAAACTAACTACGAAAATTGACAGCTTTAATCATACCTCAGTAACAGTAACTGTTACCTAGGGAAATAACTTTCGTTTGATCAATTTAATAATCAGGAACGGTTATATTGAGTGGATGTATTAAAATGAACTGTGTAATTCGATAATTACTTTTAATAGTTATACATATAATGCAAATTATTAATTTACAAGAATAGGCTGTTGGAGTATTTTAGAAAGTCAGAATTTACTTATCATAATGCAAACTTCTAGTTCTTGATTTTCGTCAGAAATAACAGTAATATATTGTTATTATTATTTATATATTGAATATTTTCATGTTTACTTTCAAAAATCCAAGTCGTAGATCTAAATAAAACAAACACTTCAAAAGATTTTTTTATTTATAAGTTAGAATTCCCAAACCCTTACTGTAAGATAATTATCACAACAAGTTTCAGTGCATAAACTGTGAACTAAAGGTAACAGAACTCTCCTTATTTGTACTCACGAAGTTTTATCTTTTCATTTACCAAATCCATTACCCTTTGTCCTTATAAAAGTATTTTTTTTCTACATTACAACAAAAACTATGTAAAAATAACACTACTGAAGTATTGTATAGGACTGTAGGATTATTTATAATAGATAATAATAAGTCTGAGCAAAATACACTAGTAGGATATAAAACAATAAAATGACTCAAATGTCCAAAAATTTACTAAAAATTACTGTTTACATCTCAAATAAAAATGTTTGTAATTTGTTCGTAGTGTGTGGCGCTGGTTGTTCAAGTACGACTGAACAGCAATTTCAAAAAAAAAGAATACTCGACAAATACTGCTTTATCACAATGGATGAGATCAAATTGACAGAGGAAATAAGCTGCTATGTATTTATCTAATTTGGCCAGCGATTATCCCACGCACAAAGCTTAAAACGCTGCAACTTTCAAAAACTGTTGCAATTGGCACATTCTATTAAATTTCACTGCTAATTTTACTTGTTACAAGTTAGATGTTAACTATATTAACACAAAAACTGTAAATTATTGAGCCAAATATTTACCATATAGTCACACTTGTTTAGTCAAAAGTTAAAGCTCTTTTAAAAAAAAACTTAAAGTGATTTTACCATTTATAGTAGGTATGTCTAATTTTAAAAAATTGACTTCCAATGATGAATATGAAATTAATCAATAAGGAGTAAATTTAAACTATCGTCTAGTTCATATAGCAAAAGTTTTTAATATGATTGGATATTAAACTACAAAATTATTGAACGATAATTTCCTTTACGCCATTTAAATTACAGTATCATGCTCAATAGGAAATTTTTAGAATTTTACCCGCAAGGAGGTTATATCTATTCTAACTATTCCTTATTTATTAAGTACAAAATCTCACTTTTCGTTTAACGGATGTTTACATTGTAAAATGGGTTATACTATACATAAAACACTTATTGCATACCCTGACAGGCTTATAGTGTCCGAATTTTGGCAACGGAACACTGTTAGATGAACACCTGGAACAGAAAATTTTACCACAATTCCTACAATGATGCCTTCTTTTCACGACAGTGAACGTCAAACCGCAACTCATGCACTTTGGAGCTTCAATATCGGGAATCCAAACAGGTGGCCTTTCACAATCTTGATGCTGTGCGATATTTTGTTGCTGATGATGTAAATTGTTAGGAGGAGCAGGTAATTGCTCATTGGTGTTATTTATATCAATTTGCTGGACTCCATTAATTACTTCCTGATCCTCTTGGTGACGGGGAAAATTGGTGTAATCTGCCTCAGTCTCCTCTCCTTCTATGTGAAAGTAAACATTGCTATCAAATAGAGCTTCTTGGGCAAGAATATTAGGATCAACAGTGAATTCATCCGTTTGTATAACTTCAGTAGGACTAGGGTGATATTCCACCGAGTGTTCAGTGGAAGTTGAAGTGGTAACAGTCGAATCCGAAGCATTTATAAGAAACACGGCCTTTAAAATGTTACGTAAATCACTTGCGAAATTCGTTTGTAGCTGATCTGCTACTCCAGCAATACAAACGAAAAGACGATGGATCAGATCTTCACTGGAACTATAAAAACCAATAAAATACAATTTTATTAAAAATTCCATTTTATAAATGTCAATTATTTACCTAAATTTCGCTCGTATTTCTCTCATACTAGCGATTTCAGCAGCCTGTAGAGCCAAAGCAATTTCTTCATCATCTGCGCAATTGCTGTTAAACGAGGATGTATCGGAACTGCTGTTACTATTCTCAGGATTGTCTTTAGTGTCACTCCATACGTTATTATTGTCTGAAATGACTTTACCGCTACATCCTGGGGAAAAGTCAAATTGTCCAGATGCATTTTCTTTCGATTTAAATTCAAGCTCTGAATTATCCATCTTGGGAATGCAGTGGCAAGGAATTTGAAGAACTGGCGAACTCTTTGAGCACCCACAACTTTTATCTTCACAAAGATCTAAACTTGGGGATCTATCCAAGCTCGTATTTTCTGTACAAATTCCTGAATCATTTGGAGAATCTAGACTAGTTCTAACTAGTATTTTGTTTTTCAAAGACTTTGGAGCATGATGTCTGTCAGATTTGCGATGGCCAGATTTTTCTCGTTCCTTCTCGGCCTCTTCATAACTTAAAATTGACGATAGTGTAGCAGCTGCTTCAGAGATAACTTCCAACGAATCTTTGTCGGATGGAGATTCTGTTCGGTATAGGCGTGGAGGGGTACCAGGAAGAACTGGTAAATGTTTGGACTCTATTGCATTAGCGATCAAATAACCTGATGTAGATGGGGCTTCTAGACTTTCGGAAGAGGATCTTAATTCAAAGGCAGAAATTTCTTCCATTTTAGGTTCATGAACGCCGGTGGTATCTACAAGGGTTGCAGGTGTAATTTCATTGTTATGCACTAAAACGAAAAGGGTGTTGGCAATGGAAGACGTTAATTTAAAAGGTGTTTATATTTTAAATTGATTTTTAAAATAGCTTACCATATTCCTGGGGATCAGTGGTTGAAATTTCCTTAGAGGTTCCATTCAAGAAAAACTTAGACAAAATATCTTTGCATAAAGGATATTCATTATAAAACCTATTTCCGTAATTATCTACATAGTCACTTTGCACTTCAACATCAGCAATAGTCAGTTCACTAATTTGTTCGTTATCACATAAAAGTTTCTCTAACATGTACAATTCTTTCTTATCTAAGGTCCACAACAGTTCGCGAATTTTATGTAATAAAGTCCTAAACGGTCGAAACATTTCGCTCATTTCTTCAATTGGTCTGTCGATACATAACGGATCGTCAGGAAAAATTATAAGGCCACTAACGATGGCAAGTCGAGGAATGGTGAACATCAAAGCGGGATCGCAATCATCAACTTTGTCTTGAGACAGGAGCTTCATTCGAAGCGCCCTTTGCAATGTTTCGGAAAAAAGGACACCTTCAAAAAAAAAAAAAACGCAAATATGTATTATGCATATTTTGCTGAGTAATTTTGTGAACTTTTATAAGACAAACGAAAACTGACCTATTAGCTCTTGTAATTCATATTCCTGTGTAGTTTTGACAGGAACCATGGCGCTAACATAAGAAAGTTCAAATTCTGCAAAAAGTCGATCAAAGATTTTGAGACTTTCAATAAGCATTTCAGTAACTAATTCGTTGCTGTTAAGCTTCAACGGACCATTTGGTGTATTACTGCGAAGGCACGTTTCTCGCAAGAGGTTTCTAACATTTTCCAAACTTTTAGTTAATGCTTTCGCCAATGGTCGCATGGCATCACTTTCCGATTCTTTATTCATAATCGACGATCCAGCTGCCAGGCACTAAAAACAATTTTCCAGTTCAATTAATTTATAAAAGTCAATTAATTGAAAGAAGTTGAAACTTTTTATAATGCGTATATAATATGCAATAATAACTTTGCACTTGTTCAATTTGTTTTTTTACCTCTGCACCGAACCAAAGTTGTCCGGCAAGATTATCTTGAAGCACATCTTCGGGAAATTTAACCCTAAAATCCCTCTCAGCACGTTCGTCTCCAATGAGTACATCCATGATGGCGTTGATAATGGTTAAAACTTTGTCTTGTGCTTGTCGTAACTGATTAACGAGGGTTGTGCATCTTTCAGGGTCTTTACGACCATCAAAGCTATCCAATTCGCTAGTGATAATATTCAAATCGTCGTCTGCATAGAAAAATTGGGCCAGCAAAGACGTATCATCTTTCTGAAATGGCAATTTATAATTTACTATACATCTTTTCGGAAAATTTTGTATGAATAATTAACCACTGAAGCCACCTTAATCTGCATTATTAAAAATGATTACTTTGCTAAAACTTATAGATACAAATTCTAATGTTCATAGTTAATGTGTACATAAGTTTTTAATCCACTTTTACGTTGTACTTAGATAAGTTTCATTTTAATAGAAATCAACTTGCTCATTTAAAAATTTAATTATTATTTAAAAATCTCTCCGATCTGCGAACATCTAGTACCTATTACATTTCAAAAACGGTATAGGCTGTTGTGTTATGTGGAAATGCATAAAAAAAAGTATAGATACAAAATACGAAATGAATTTTTAATTTAATCCATGCAAGCTGTTTCATAAAATTAATTGAACGTTTTGACTACGGTATAATTTGTTGTTTGTTTATATGTAGAGAAAATTGTATTATAACCCAACGTATTGCTTTGAAGGACCGGTTAAAAAAAAAGTTTGTTAATTTAACACAGACTTCCGGTTTTGTTCTTGGGAAATAAATAACGTTAAAAGATAAAAAGATTTTGATACTATCCTTCCTATAGTAATAATTTTACGTCTGTCATTAATAAAACTACCGTATATATACGTCGCGGCGCTGTACGGGTGCGAAACATAGACGGTGGGCGCGGTGGAAAACAAAAGTTAGAAGCGTTTGAAATGTGGTGTTACAGGTGAATGATGAAGAGGTATTATAAAGAATAGGAGAACAAAGGACTCTTTGGAAGTCAATAAGAAATAGACGAGAATAGTTGGTAGGATACCTTCTCAGGCATGAAGGGCTAGTCAGAGATATATTAGAAGCGAAAACAGGAGTTTAGAGGTAGACCTAGATTAGATTACTATTCACAAATAGTTAAGGATGTGGGATGTTTTAGGGAAATGCGAAGATGAATATTTCAGGATAGGAAAGAGTAGAGGTGCGTGTTCAAACAGCCTTAGGACTGACGACTTTATGATGATGATATGTATGAAGATAATGTATTAATTACATAATTACGGTATCGATTTTATACACATGGTCTAGCAAGGTCAAAGAAAAACATGTATTAAAACTTTTTAAACATATTCGTTAAGTACCTACCCGCCTATTGCATATAATACCTGCCATTTCATTAAATTTGAATAAAGCCTAACTTGGCTTATTTCTAAAATGTCTTAAATTATAATAAACTCTGTTATACAGACGTCTGCAAAAACATAATATTAACTTTAAAAGTATAAACGAAACAAACAAGGATGCAGTTCAAAAAGTTACTAGTAGATATATTTATGCCTTGGAGGTGAAAACGGCAATATTTTGCTGATTTAAGTAAACCATTGCATTAGTTGTATGATATTTTTGCAGTTCTTTAAAATAACATTTATAACGATAGAATTTCCCCGCCCCCTATATTTTGTCAGGCATCTTCCAAATAAATGCCGGCAGACGAAAGACCAAAAAAATGCGATGAAAACCAGGTGTGACAAATATTAAAATGAGGTCAAGGTGAAAGTTTAAAGAAAGTTATACTGCCTCGCTTTCACTGATATGATGTCGAATATTACAAAAGCTATTAAAAAACAATTTCTATAAAGTATTACCTACTATAGTATTATGTTGTAGTATGTACATTTATCAATAGAAAATGTTACAGCATTACTTATATTGGTTTTTATTTAATTTTTTAATTGTAAGTGAAAACACTCTTTTGATCCAATGCCCTATCCACTTGAATAAACAATCGAAAACCGTAAAAGGCGAAGCATAAAAGTAAACAGAAGAAAACAATGAAAATACAAAACAATAAAAAAAATATGCCGAGAGTCTGTTATTGTGAATCCATAAAAGGATGGCCACGGTATTATAATTAAATAGGTATATATAACGTATATGTATACATATGCATTAATGATGAATAATAAATTATCTTCTGTATTCATTACAACAGATATGGTGGCATTACATTTACTATAATTGTTCTAGTTCTTACAACAGCTGAAACATGTATTTGCATTTTCTAGAAAATCATTAATTAACAGTTTAAATAACATTTTTTAAGATGTACAATACTGTGGTACATTATTTTGATCTATCTCGTAGGGTTTAGCCAGCGTTTGCAATGTAAGCGCAAAAAATGTGTTTATTTACGACATTACATTAGAAACCTCTAAAATTATCAGTGTTTCTCTACTGTATTATGCATGTATTATACATGTAAACCCTCGTCTTGAATTACTCTATCTATTAAAAAAAAACCGCATTAAAATCCGTTGCGTAGTTTTAAAGAACTAAGCATACATAGGGACAGACAGCGGGAAGCGACTTAGTTTTATACTATATAATGATAAATCCAATGCTTGAAATATTAATTAAGTATTTCTAGGAACAGAATGAAAAATAAAATTTGACCCACATTTTTCCGGAGATTAAGTAGTCATGAAAATTTGAAAATATTTTGTAAATTGACAAAGTTTTTATTTTACAATTGACTAACACCCATATCGTATTTAAATAGTCATATGGTAATATACTTCCGTGCATTCAGGGTCAAATACAACAAAAAACTTCTACATCACTAACTTCCAAGTGTTCGTGTCATCGTTAGTTTTATCAGTAGAAGCGATATTCTGATATTCACTGATTATTATGGTATTAGCAAAAATCACAACAATCCTACATTTCTTGTACAATTAAATGAAATACTTTAAAAGCAACTTTATTTTAAATTAGTTAGAAAGAAATCCAACTTTATAAATGAAACTAATATTATTAAAATGATCTTAAAAGCCAAACAGATGTCCTATACTCGATTATTTCTAGGATGATTTCTATACAATATAAAGTTTTCTTTTGTAGTTGTTTATAGCACAAAATAAAAATTACATTAAATCTAGTTAGACATTTATCAGCGGTACCTAAATGAAACTTAACAATTTATTCCCTTTTAGTAAAAATCTAAAAATAGCTGAAAATTATTGTAGTCGCTCATTTGCCCTCTTTACACAAACTTCTATCCAAATATTTCTAACTTCCTGTATGTAAAACGGTAACTTTTTAATATATATTCAGTAAATAGAGCAAGGGAAGTTAAAATACACGCTTAAAATAGTTATTTTGTTTTGCTTTTACACAAGTACAGTTTTTATTCTAAGATTGTCTAAGTTCAGATTTCTTTCATTCAACTTTTAAGAAGTTCAAAGAACTTATTTTCTTTGTTAATGCTCCTTAATATTATTACAATTATAGTAAATAATAACTGATAACATAAGATTTATTTTATTTTCAATTAATTAGGAAGGTTGTCTTTTCTAAAAAGATTTTATTGGTAAAAATATACAAGCAGTACCGTTTTTAATTGAAAGTAAAGAGTAAATTATAAATGATAACTAAACAAATGGTATCGACTTATTTACGAGAATTTGTCTCTTGTCACAGAAAAATTAAAACTGTTAGTTTTTGGGAGTTTCCAAAATAAATTATGGATAGGTAGTTATAGTTCAGAAAGAGCAGGATGTACCTGGTTAATTAAGTATTTGTATTGGGTATTAAATTTATGTAATATATTTTTATGGATGATTTAGGGAAGACGCAATGGTATCGCAAATAAATGTTTTTTTTTTTGAATTGACAAAAAATTAAAACCATGTCAGAAAATACATATTGTAATATCAATTATTATATTAGTACCTATGTGTACTTGTGCTTATTTTAGCATCTTTGAGAAGCGTAACATGACTTTCGTACTGATTATGATAAAATGAAAATCATAAGCATTAATTCTTCTATTTTCTTTGCTTTATTATAATTATTAATACCGAATTCATACCTTAATACTAGGAATAAGAAATACTTATAAAACTGAAACATTAAGCAGTCATTTCATTATTATTAAAAAACTACACACCTACAAATGTATGTAGGTATCATATTTTTATATTTTCTATAGTAATACTTGTTAATAATTATTATCTGAAAATAAAGGATTGAACGATAACTTTCTACGTTACGTTGTACTGGGTATACAAACAAAGTTACTGGCTTACGATTAATTATAAAACCTTGACTAGCTGGAACTCATTAGTAGAACAAAGAGATATTGTTTAGTACCTTCGGTCTATAAAGCCATTTTCTTAACGATTCCATCTTGTTATTAACTTAGTAATAGTTAAAATGCACAGTAGTTTACAAATCGAGCTGACACATTACACTTGGGACGCACATTCAACGAAAACTTTATTCCATAAAGTGGAATTTTCGATTTTGCTATCTGACTAGCAACAATAAAAATTATCATTATAACACAGGCACCACATTGAACGACCCCTTGATATTAAATAAACACATATTATAACCCAACTATTACTGCAGTTATTTGCAGAATAGAAAAATTGTTTTTGTAGCTATGAATCACTACAATGTAATAATACACTGACAGCTGACGTTGACGTACGCCAACATACGCTGCTTTGGCTACTGCCATAGATATGTAGATATGTTTCACTTTAGGTCGTGTATGATTAGTCTACTATTGCAGAGATGACGCTAGTAGTACCGTCTGGAATTGAAAAAGAGGATTTACTTATATGCAGCTAATAAACTGGCAATTAAATTATGTGTTATTTGCGCAATTTATTTCATTTTTTTTCTACATAACTTCTTCTGAAGAAAAGATTTATGATAGTAACTTATAAATTCTTGAATGTAGATGAAGTTAAAATTGTTACGAAGTATGTTGTAATCATAGGCGTAGCGGGAGATTTTTCCTAGGGAAGGTGGATTTTCAATAACTGTAAATTTGTATTGTATATATAGGTTCAATGTGTTTGGTTTTTATATTTTTGAAACTTTCTAAAAGATATCGCGACTCATCAGTCTTTTCCAAATGGGGGTGGAGGGCGCAGTGTCCCTCTTGCTCCTACCTATGTACACTCATGGTTGTCATCCTTACAAAACTAGAAGCACACGGTATCCCATTTTCGGCATTTTTGCGAGGTATATCCCTTATTTTTAAATATTTTTTTTGTGAAATGAAAGGTGGCTACAATATAATTTTAATATCAGTTTTCAAAAAAAGACCATGCGCTCTTAAGAGTATTTTTAGACGATAACTATAATCAAAAATGGATTGGTACCTACGGACCTACAAGAAGGCTTTCTCAATCTCCTTATCTTTCAATTTTAGTTTTCCTTTTTTTTTTTGGTCTCATGCAAAATAAAATCTAGAAAACGCGATATCAGCTTGTAGCAGAGCTTCGTGTACGACAATTGATTTTCCGAAATCTGCAAAGGTCTTTGATGCTGTAGAAAAATAACCCAAATGTGCCAATGTTGCATTTTGTTTAACTTAATTTTTAAGTAAGAAAGAAAATTTTAGAAAATCTTAATTTCTAAATTTACTTTTAAAGATAATTGTATGTATGAAGACCCATATTATGCCTAATAAATACTATACAAGGTGTTCATTTAAAAAAGCATCGATTCTACGAAATAAATCTATAACTGAGATACTGGGGAAGGGGTACCTGGAAGGTGATACTTTTCAATTCCGCCTTGTATCTAAAAAATCAGAAGGGTTATAAAAATGAGGAATATACCCTGTAAATACTCTGTAGTTTACATATCTGGTGGGGTTTAGGCGATTACAGTAAACTAATGAATTACCGTGTAGATAAAACTAACAAGTTAAAAAATTAGAAACCCGTTCTTCTAGTTCTTAGAGTTAGCAGAGATTTTTCAAATAGTTCAGTAAATTCATAAATTTTAATTTCAATTTTTAGTTATTAAATATTATCAATGTAGTAATTTTCAGTATTTATGTTATAAATACATACAAATTCTTGATTGCCCAGACAGACAGCTTTCTATACACGCCTTGTACCTATATTGGTACATGTTTTTAACTTGAAACATTTCCATTTAACTACGGCGCAGGTTCGTCAGATGATGTAAAAGATAATTTTTTGCCAAGATTTGAAAAAGAATGTAATATCGTGTGTCATACAGTGATGTAGTTTCTAGATCGAAAAACGTGGTTTTTGTTAACTTTGGACCTCCCCGGTTTGTTATCGCACACTTTTTCGAAGAACTTCCTTTTAAATTACCTACCGACTGGACCAATAGCTTTTTACCAATTTGGAATGTAACAACTATATAAATGTATTTTATTATTCAGTTTTTTCATTTACTCATGTTTATGTTAAATTTATTTTATTTACTGACAGTATTCAATATTTCATTTAAATCAAAAAATGTTTTATTATTTTATAACAAAATCAGGAAAAATTCCCCAATTGGAAACATCTAACTAACTGTCAAAAAACAGACCGCTACAGAATAATGTAAACAATCGGAACAAATTTAATAATTAAAAAATCTATACATCGAAGACGCCATCAACATCATTAAAGACAGGACAACTGTAGGGATAGATGTGCAAGGGCAAAAGATTAGTATGCTTAGATTTGCAGATGATATAGCAGTATTAGCATCTAGCAAGGAGGACCTAGAGATAGCTTTAAATAAAATGGAAGCGGTACTGACAGATCAGTACTGTATGAAAATAAATAAAAGTAAAACTAAAATACTGGTATGCAAGGGAAGAAAAAGTAGGGAAAGAGCGAATATAAAGATAGGAGACGAAAAATTAGAAGAAGTGGCTGATTTTAGATACCTAGGAAGTCAGATAAGTGAGGATGGAAGGAGTAGTAGGGATATAAAGCAGAGGATAGCGCAGGGTCGTGTCGCCTTTAATAAAAAGAAGTCACTTCTATGCTCGCGAACGGTTAATTTAGAAATTCGAAAAAGGTTGTTAAAGGTGTATGTTTGGAGCACGGCGTTGTACGGGTGCGAAACATGGACAGTGGGAGCGGCGGAAAAGAAAAGGTTAGAAGCGTTCGAAATGTGGTGTTATAGGCGGATGATGAGGATATCGTGGGTAGAAAAGGTTAGAAATGAAGAGGTATTGGAAAGAATAGGAGAACAGAGGACTCTATGGAAGTCAATAAAAAATAGGCGAGATAGGTTGGTAGGACACCTTCTCAGGCATGAGGGTCTAGTCAGAGACATATTAGAGGCAGAAACAGGAGGTAGGAGGGGTAGAGGTAGACGTAGATTAAATTACTGTTCGCAAATAGTTAAGGATGTGGGCTGTTCTGGTTTTAGGGAAATGCGAAGTTTAGCTCAGGATAGGAAAGAGTGGAGGTACGTGTCTAACCAGTCTTAGGACTGACGACCTTATGATGATGACCGATAACTGCGTTTCTAGTTATTTATTTTCTTAATTTATAGTATGGGTGTTATTAGTAAGACATCAATTTACTTTGCATAAATAAGTAATTATAAATATAGTCGTCTTTTTCATAGGGGTTGAAGAAATTATACAGATGGTATATTTAACACGTATTTATAGCGATTAACGTGTTTAATTTGATTTTTGATTGAGACTGCGACATTTTGTAACTGCAAATTCTTTCTCTCCGACACATTTTCAAGCACACCCTGTAAATGTTTCTAAGACATTTCAAAACTTTTTCCATTTTCATACGGCGCATGTTCGTACGGGTTTTGACTACATTTTCGTCAAGGTAACTGAGCATGAATAATACAAAAAAATGTTGAAATGTTATCGTGCTTTGTACGAATTTTAAAAACAGTTAGTAGTGTTAACAGTTCGGCTTGATTTGAACGTTTAATTTATTCAGTAAGAATTAGAACTATTGTAAAGATTGTGCTTCGTTTAAGGTAAATTTATTTTGTTTTAATGATCTATAGAATTGTTAACGTCCTTATGTTATCTTTTGCTTGAATTAGAATGCCTAACCAGTTTATAATAAGACTAGGAAAATGCATGATAATTGGGAAAGATTGATAAAACTTTGGACAGAATAAGTTGGCTAATCTTATCGATGGTTCATGTGAATCATAAATTTCAGTTGAAATTATCTCCAAATCGGGAGCTTTTGCGGTTTTTGTCGGGATCAACATCATTACGAAATTACTTGGCCAAAAAGTTTCACTTCCTGACCAAGGGGTAGAGAATTCGAACCAAGGGGAAAAATAAAGATACGGACATTTCTTGCATTTCCAGTAGGGTTTATACAAAAACCGACATTTTAGAAAACCAGTTTTCGAATAGTAATTTTTCCACAAAACCGGTTTCGAATTTTTATAAAAAAATTTTTTGCTCGAATATTCTGTAATTCGAACAAAAAATTTTAACAGAAAATTTAGTGATTAAAAGCAGTTTTTGACTGAAATTATTTACTGTTCAATTTTATTGATAGTAAATGTTTTTTATGCAATTTAGTAGAACAAAGAAATAATAGTTGACCAGGATTAAATAACTTTAAAAACAATTATTCGTTGTTTATGCATAATTTTCACATATAAGGATGTAAATATTTTTATAAT